TTTCCAAACCATCTGCGATATTTATTATTTGTAGACTTTTTAAAAAAATCTTCTTTTGGGGTGGGGGGGTTAAGTTTGTTTTATTTATTTATTTATTGAGGAGGTACCAGGGATTGAACCCAGGGCTTCATGTATGCTAAGCATGCACTCTACCACTTGAGCTATACTCTCTCCCATTAAAAATCTTTTTTTTTTTAATTGAAGTATAGGCAGTTTACAATGTTGGGTCAGTTTCTGTTGTACAGCATAATGTTTCAGTCACACATGTAGACTTTCTGATGATGGCCATTCTGACGGGTGTAATGTGATATCTCATCGTAGTTTTGATTTGCATTTCTCTAATAATTAGCGATGTGGCACATCTTTTCATGTGTCTGTTGGCCATCTGTATGTCTTCTTCAGAGAAATGTCTATTTAGAAGACCTCATTGATCCATAAGTACCTTTTTAAAAATCACAGCAGGTAGCAAGTAGAATATAAACCTTATACTGGGGCATAACCATGATGACCATTTAGTGAAAGCTCACTGAGTACCAGGTACTAATGTAAGTGCTTCTCATGTTTTATCTCATCTGCTTCTCACAACAACGCTATTTTAAAGGTGAGGAAAGGGAAGTTTAATGAAGTTAAACAAGTGGCCCAAAGTCACCCAGTTATTAAGTTGAACCAAGACTTCAACCCATGCCATGTTTCAAACCAAACTCTTACCCACAATGCAGTCTCCTTCCCAATGTTGCCTTGAATCACATACAGGGATACCACTAAGATAGCCAGAACTGCCCTTAGTTTGTCAACTCTCCTTAAGTTTGAACTCCATTTTCACCTTGAGAGAACATCTATAAACCTGGTTGTTATTAACTGACACAAAATCTGCACCATGGAGAACTGTGTTTTAAAACTAACTTCATTCTTAAGTCACTGATCCTTGTAGGTACCTGATTACTAAATGCTTCCGGAAGAAATCACCTCTGACAGACTGCTGTCATATAAATTTGTGGTCACCAACTTCTACTAGATCTTACTGATGCTACTATGATATTACTATGTCCAAAGTCCGTTACAGATCTTTCCATTCTGTTCTGTGGTAGGCAGCTTCTAATATTGCTCCCAATGATCATGCCTCTAGTACAGAAACACCTCATTTTATTGCACTTTGCTTTATTACACTTCGAAGATGTTGTGCTTTTCACAAATAGAAGGTTTGTGGAAACCCTGTGTTGTCAGATGATGGTTAGTATTTTTAAAGTAATAAAGTTATTTTTAAATTAAGGTATGTAAGTTGTTTTCTTCGACATAATGCTATCGCACACTTAATACATTCCAGTATAACATTAACATAACTTTTATATGTACTGGGAAACCAAAAAAGTTCACGACTCATTTTATTGTGGTATGTACTTTATTACAGTAGTCTGTTGCAGTAGAACTGAACTCACAATATTGCTGAGGTATACCTTCCTTTGTGGACTGCTCCTGGTGACTTCCTTTTAACAGATAGGCTACGGCAAAAGTGATGGAATGTCACTTCTGAGATTAGGTCAAAAAAAGACTTTGGCTTCTGTCTTGCTTGCTCTCTCTTGCTCTCTTGGATGGAATCTAGCTGTCAGTCCCTATGATGAGCCCCAAATGGTGGGAGGTGGTGTAGAGAAAACTGAAGCCATCAGTTTAGTAGCCCAGGGGAAACTGAATTCTATCAACAAACACTTAAATGACCTTGGAAGCAGATGCTGCCCTACCCTTGAGATGACAGCAGCCCCAGGTGGCATCTTGATTGGAAACTTGTGAGACCCTGAAAATTCAGCTAAGTGACATTCACATTTCTGGCCCACAGAAACTGTGAAATAACACTACAACTTTAAGCCACTACAGTTTGGGGCGATTTGTTATACACATTTAAATAACTACTACATCTCCCAGTCTCAAACTTTCCCTCCCCAACACACACACACACCCTTCTTCTCCTAATCTTGGCTTTTAGTAGATGACCTGGCCACCTATTTATAGAGAAAATAGAGGTTTTCCACTAGATGGAAATTTTCTCAGCCTCTTGAAAGCAAATCTATACTCCTAAGAGCACCCAATCTATTAATTTTTTCAGTGCTAATAAAAGAGAGATCCTTCTTATCTAAGGTTGATATCCTCTCAACTTCATCTTCTCTAGTCTCTTCCTTTCTTGCAGAATTAGCCCCCTTTCCTTCTTTATTTTTATCTTCTTCCACTTCTAGATCTTTCCCTATCAGCATTTAAGTCTCTCCTTTTTCAAAACACAAAACTAAAATTGGCTTGACCCATCACCCTCTACAGATACTCCTTTCTCTCCTCCCTCATTTTTAAAATGAGAGTTCTAGCATTGTCAACTCAATTTTTCTACTTACTTATTCCTTAACCTACTTGGATATAGACTCTTTCTCGTCACCCAATAATGGCCATTCCTAATCCTTATTTAGCTTGAGCACTTGGCAGCATTTGGTACTACTGATTACATCCTCTCTTTTGAAACGTTAACCTCCCTGATGTTACACTTCTCTGGTTTTCCTCCTTTCTCCAGCTGCCATACTCTCCTTTCAGGTTCTTCCTTTCCTACTCAACCCATAAACAGTAATACTTCTCAGGGATAAAGTCTTACACCCTCTTCTATTCTGCTCCTATAGACCAAGAGTCCAAATTCAAATGCTTTTGGAAAAAGACAAGTAAAAAGGAATAATACGTGCTGGGTCTAAGCCATTAGAAAGTAGTGGGGGCTATGGTGAACTAGATAGTTTAAATCCCATAGAGAGATTTTAGTCTCTATTTGGTTTAATCCAATTGTTGTTTTACAGGAAAGTAGCCCTATATACTGGAATTTCCAAAATACCTATCTCTAGGTGCAGTTTCTTCATCTTAAAAATCACTCTGTGAATAGTAATGATGACAGTATTAAAACACTGCAAGTCCAGTTTAACCTATAAGCTGCTAGTCTATCATTCTTGCAGATTCTCCTAAAACAACCTCATCTATTTTCATGGTTTCAATATCCACTTTATGCTAAAATTTTCAGAATCTCTAAGGTTAGCTCTCTCCTCCAAGCTCTATCAGATCCATATATAAACTGCCTTGTTGACATCATCTCCATTTAATTGTCTTTAAAATTATCCCTCTCCTTCCTCTTCTTTCCCCAGCCAGTTCCTCCAGTTGTACTCCCTATTTTGATAAATGGTACCAAAAATCTACCAGCTCAAATCAGAAATCTAGAAGTCACCTTTGACAGTTCTCACTTGACATAAACATAGCCAACATATTTATTTAGTACCTATGACATGCTTTCCTGCCAATGTTGATTCTCTCTAGATTTCATCTAGTTTTCTAATCCCAATTGCCACCATGGTTTTATCTAGATTACTAATAGCCTCCCAACCGGTCTCTGCTTGTATTTGGTCCCATTTAATCTATTCTCCATATTGGGGGTAGAATTCTCTCTTTAAAAAGTAAAATTTATCATGTCACTATCCTGCTCAACTTTCGATACTTCCCTTTGTGATTATTAAGAAAATCTACTATCTTTAACATTGTTTACAAGGCCCCTGTAGGTCTGTTCCAGTAACATTCTTTCAGTTCTCACTATGCTATAATCTTGGTGCCTCTGCATGTTATTTTCTTGGCTAAGAACAGTCAGAGTTCATATTGCTCCTTATAGACTGCTAGTTTTCCTTGACCCAGATAATCTTGTTCTTCATATCTCATAACACTCAGCAGTCAGCACTCAAGCAATTAACTATTCAAAATGTCTATCTACTCCATCATACTAAGACTGGGAAGGCAGAAAGTACATACGCCTTGTTACAGTAGCTAGCACAACGTTGGCTCTCAATAAGTATGTTGAAATAATTATTACAGTTACTCTTGCATACAGCTATTTAAATTCTTCCCTAATCCTAATCTTTCTTTTGGGAGATAAGAATAAGTAAGTCTTGACAAGAATAAATCTTGACTATTTCATCCTCAAAAAGCCATTTTTTTTTTCAGAATGAATGAAGGAATGACCCAGTCACGTGAGGCTGATTATGGGTTACTAGCCTCTTAAAACGCAGGAGTTGGGGAATGGAGAGCTCCAGTAACAGCATCACGTGTAAATAACCCGAGCAGATCCAGGTCCTGTGCCTAGCAAACACGTGCTGCCCG